AATAATATTATAACACTTAGTGCAATCTCAAAGTGGGTGTGGCCATCCTTCCTACTTCATGTGCTTTTTGTAACTGTTCAAACTAAATGAAAGATGTATATAGCTAAATTTCTTTGATGTAAACTTTGTTTCAATAACTAAGTACAGATACATGTATGTAATCAAATTATGTAACCCTAACAAAATACATGACAGTATGGGGGGGGGGGGTGTTTGATGTCAGACAGGAAATCAACAGTTTTGATACTATTCTGTTGGCCCACTCCTTACCAGTCAGATAGCTATAATGTCTTCCATAAGCAAAGTATGACTATTGGAGAGTAGCATTAGCCTAGAGCACAGTCACTCTCAAGACTTGGTACCATAAAAAAAGTTGAGACAAGTGTAAAACATTTTTAAATAAAAAAATTAGGAAACAGGAATGAGAGCACCAAAGAGTAAAGAAACAAGGTATGAATGGGCCATATATCATTACTACTATTGGTGACTTTTGACACGGTGTAACTTCAAAGTTAGTGTGGCCATCATTCTGCCCATATCTACTTCATGTTTTACATTGAACTTTGATCCAATTATAGACTTGAGTTTTATCAGTAGCTAATCCTTTCTAAATACTCAAGAAATTTAAACACTTTAAAAACATAGAGCTATCTCTTTACATTTCCTGATATCTTTGCTTTAGTTTTTCTTCCATCTAGCCAGGGTGGCAGCCTCTTATTTGGTTGGATTAATGGATAAGGCTTGTTTTGTAAATTAAGCATTACTGTTTCTGACTTTATTCTTGTAGTAATGCTGTCTTTGCTAGGATAAAGATTTTTCAAGATTATCAACATAAGATTTTCTCCTTTTCCATCATATTGTTTCCTTGAAAGGCATATTTTAAAAATAGCACTGTTTCAAGTACAACCTTAGATGTCAATAAGTCACACTTAGTTTGAAAACAATGCAAAAATAAATTGTACAACTTACCATTTTTGTCTTAAGTCCAGAGTGCTTGAGCAAAGTCGTGTCAGATGTATAAAACTAAAAACTTCACCTTCAAAAGTTAGATCGTAGTTAGAATCTACATAGTTCAAATTTGTTTATCTAGCTGGTACAGCTAGAGACTGATCATGTAGCATTGTGCATAAGCAATCATGCATCCACATGTGATATGAGGGTAGATTGTTACTTCACTACTCACAGAGTGTGCTTGTAATCATAGAATATGGCCACTAGTGTATTGTTAGCTCATTAGTAGTGTTGCAAATAGGTTCTTATTACTTGTTATGTCAAGGTTATAAGTAAAACTAAGAAAAATGCTTTTAGCCAAGGTAGCATAATTCAATCATGTGAATTAGGTGAAGGCATGAAAGAGTTATGCCTTTCCAACAATGAAAGGGAACCAAAGGCAACCTGCAGTGGTCACCTGTTTTAACCACTCAAACCATTATACAGTAATGTGTTGGCTGTCAGTCAGTCAGATAGATTGACAAATTTATAGTTTTGTGAATTTGTCTTTGCCAACTTTCTCAAGTGCTTTTGTGGCTTGTTACCCTGCATTTGGTTTGTTTACTACTTAACAGTGTGTGTAAAATACTTATAATAGAGTTTTGTTTACATGCTGTTTGCAGTGTTTGAGATTTTCATTTGTATTGCACATCTGTCCCATTCTTGCTAGAAGTATTACTGTACTTATAATTCACCACCAATTAGATTATCAGACTTATCAGCATCTCTTTCAATTTTTGTATTACAGTTGGTATAGTCCCTACATTATCACCTGATAGGAATTAGATACAAAGTGCTTCCTGCCCAGGTGACGTTTTTAGCACATGGCTTCAGCAGGGATGACAATACATGGGCTTGTGATTCAAGAGTCAGATATAATACTGTTATGACAGCGGAAGTCACGTATATAAGACCACCAAGAAGGACGGCAACAATGGAATTGAATTGCAGACAGAGATAGAGACGGACAATTGAGTTGTGAATTATAGCGTTTGTTTAAGTTAACTGATTGTGGGAATTAAGTGTATTGCAAAGTTGTATTGAGAAAGAATAAACTAGTTTTATTTAAGGAAGGACTTGTATTGCTGTATTTGTATTTGTACCTGATGATGACAAAACCTTGTCGAAACGTTGTACATTTGCTGTTATGTTAAACTTGTATTAAAGTTCTTCATTACCCATTCAGGCCATCTCCAGCCATTATTGTATTGCTGAAGTTTTTCGGAAAGAATTTCTACGGAAAATTAACAAACGATCAGAGGCGTAACAATACATAATAGGTATACAGTACATTTGACATTGATCTCATGTTCAGTCTGAAATACTTTTGCTTTTATGAACTAGTTTCTTTGTGGATGCATCTGTAATGGAATGTGCTGGAGGAGCATAGTTAGGACCACTTCTATAAACTTTACAGTCATCTGGAAGTGGATCATCCGTTGTACGGAGCTTGGAATAATAGTAATGTTGATGGCACTTATGATAAATTATACTATCTTCAGTAGGGTTTTTCTTCATTCTTTGAAAGTATTTTATTATTTCATCATAATATGTGCATTCTCCCTTTGTGTTTACACTTTCAATTGGCATATTATATATATATATATGCAGTTTTGCTCAGTTTAAGTTTGTTTTTTGTTTAATGTGATGTCATACTTAAACACTTTCAGTCTTCATTGTGTTGTTTATAAGATAAATGTTAAAAGATGGTACTGACTGTTTCGTTATAAAAATTACTACTTCTACCTAAGTTTCAAGATCCATCTTTTGTCATATTTTGAATTGTTTAAACTTTTTATTTTGCAATGGAAACATATAAAATAGAGAAAAGGTACCTTGTGGAACAAATCTATGCTATTCTTATGTACAGGCTACATATCAGCCAATGAAATAAAATCTACTCAGTTGAGTCATTCACATTAGAAGTTACATTATTCAATGAAATTGACACTTTTATAGTTATGGAACCAATAATATTTTGCCTTGTTGCTTGCTGAGTGATTTATAAGGCTCAACTAAAGTAATGTTAGTGAGACATCATTCACCAAAGGAATACAAATGTGTTGTCTTTATTTTTCACCTTGTGTGTCATCTTCTATTCAGACTAATAATGTGGCAATGTATAAATTTATTTTTACAAAATACATTCTATGGCAATCCCATTACATGAAACAAAAAAAATCTTTATTTTTTACTTATACATGGAAGCACAAGTTCCATTTTACAGACACTTGTCCTTTCTAAAGAACCTTTGCATTTTTTGTATACAGTTTAAAAAAAAATTTGATATGGTGATTTACAATCATGTAAATGTATTTTATTAGTGAAGAGTTATTTGAAAAGTCTTTAACTTGTAAGTATTGTGCACTTTATTATTACATGCATTTGCACAATGACTCATGTTTCTGGTTTTCAATATATTATTGTTAATAAACTACAAGCATTTATTTTATATTACACACAGAATATGACGTTGTAACATCGAAACATGTAGAGTCGTCAACTTTTTGAAGGCCATAGATAAGCCTAAATAAAATGTTTTTAATTGTGTACCAGTATAACGTTAAATATTATTTATGATTTTAAAAGTAACTTATTACCTTTTTCAGAAAATAAATGTTTTTTACTTGGATGTTTGGGCTTGGTTTTTCCAAAAGTGCTTCATTTCATTTTACATGAGTTGTGTGCATTACATATGCCATATTTTTCAAAAACATGCAACTAGCAGCAACTTTAAAAAATATGAGGACCTCATTTATTTTATTAACAGGTTTAATGTACATATCCATACTGAAACTAATTACATAACAGGACTTGTATTTCTTATTTAGTTACTTTTCAAAAATGTACTGAACAAATTATATTATCACAGGGTTCGCACACAAGCATCATGATAAATTTCAAGGACTTTTCAAAGCTTCATCTGCTGTTTTTCAAGGGCTTTCAACAACAGCTATTCATGAAATTGTTGACATAAGATTATCTTCCACAGTTCACAGGATCCAGTGTACTGTTTTTTGCAGAAATAAATCCTGCAGAAGAATTGAAAAAAAAAAGAATTGAAAGATAGCCTCAAAGTACTGCTGTTTTTCTGAAACTTTTCACTTTGCATTTGCAATCTTAGAATACTTTCACCCACCTTGTACAGATAAATTACTTTTTTTTTGCAAGTTTCACAACATACTTTATCTCAAAATCCTTTGCATTTTCTTAAAATTCATCATGGTCTAATCATTTCCTACAAAATATGCACTTTCTCATGATAAAATACAGGATAATACAGCATTTAATTCATCCACTGCTCACTCTTTCACTTTACATTCAACACTAGAAAATCACTTAAGCAAAACAGTTTTAGGTCGTGGGAAAAATATTACTCAAAATTTTATAGAATACTTTCCTTTGAGGATTTTTCAAGTGATCTTGTTGAAATTAAAGGGCTTTTTAATGGGAATTATAATGTTAAGGAATTTTTCAAAACAACCATGAAATTTAAGGACTTTTCAAGCTCTGTGCAAACCCTGTATCATACACATTAGTATTCAGCATATTTGATATATATATATATATGTACACACTAATGGAAACAGTCCTAAAAGAACTAATATATATCAAGAGACTGATAAAAAAACTAATTATGAAAATTCAGTAAAATACAGAGGTATTATAACAAATGAAATACAAAAATTATCAACATCATAACACAGTCATGTTCTCTTTTATATCACAAAATGTACATGCTTTTTTGTATATCAGGTTACAGGTAAATCTATATCTCCAAGAAACATGTTTCTCTGACCAGTTTCTTCACAAATGTTCCATCTACTATTAAAGATGATTTGTATTTAATATTATAGTCTGAATTACATACAATTTACAAAAGTATGATAAATACTGCACAAGTGTGAAGCTACTATTAAATGAAACATTCAATCTAGATTATATATTTTATATATGAGTATTTCACATTGTGTATAAATGTGCAGCTTGTAACATTTCAGTCTGGGTTACATGCATTCTATTTAACTATTTCATATAATGAAGAAGTATAGAATCTTAATGCTTTAGTCTAAGTTACATCCATTATTTTATATGTATAAATATAATAAAAATTGTTCCTCTGCACAGTTGATTTGCAAAAAGGTTAGGATAAAAATATGTCCAACAAATGCCTATTAAATACTATAGAAACTGCTAACTCTTAATCTTCAACATCTTGGTTCTTTTCATATGCTTTGATTGTCAGGACTATAGCTTATACAGTATACACAGTTTACTTGACAAGTTAAACTGTACTTTATGTGACTAAGGTTCTGATATTATCTACATGTATAGAATATCAATCCTAGTTATAAAGCTTAACTTGGTTGATAATTACACAAACTTTATTTCATTATTGATATCATATCTTGATAGATTTCTAAGTTGCTTCAAATGAGAGTAAAGCCTTGTGTTAAAAACTCTGACACTTACAAAAAATGTAATTAATTATATTCTTTGAAGGCAATTAAGTTACAGTATCTGACTGATCATTAACTGTTTGACTGTACAGAATCATAAAAATTAAAAATCACTCATAGCTCCTAATCTACATTTACAGCCAGTTTCATTTACTCAAAACCGATGCTATTCTTTCATGCATCAATAATTGTTGCAATGTCTGGTCAACATAGCTAAAATTCATCACATTGATCTGTACCATTTGATAGCATTCTACTGGAACATGAAGCAGTGTCTCATAACAAGTACTGAGAGATCTGACAATTGAAATGTTCAATGATGCTAAGAGCATCAATCACACATTATCAGCTAACTGAAAGGTTGCTCCTTAGTCCTGTTGGTAGAATACTGGCAATCACTGTACCAATTGCTGTCATTAGATGTTTAGGCAAGGAACACAGTTCTATACGTGATATTGTCCGTCCCCAGTGTTTCAGGTAGTCTGTAGCTTTTATTAAGGAATTATTTATGTACTTATATAACAAATATTAATACAAAATGCCATGATCTCTGTTTACAAATACAAGGAATATATTACTTATAACTAGTAAGCACAAGATAATGTAATAAAATTATTACAGAATACTTGAATAAACATCTTAAAACTACAAATAATGAAAACAGTATAAAGATGAAAATGCTACAAAATATATTACTATAATTTCTTTAAATTGTTTGAAGTGATTTATATCTTTCTAGTATTATTTCCAAAACATCAAATCTAGCAATACAGTAAATGCACACATGTTCAAGTACTAGGCTTACTAATCAAACTCTTAGGTTGTAAAAAGCATATAATTATTATTATTATTTTATTCACTACTATCCACTATATGTTTCTGAGAAACATTGATTATCTATATCATGTAAGCCTAAAACAGTTATATGTGTGAACTGTATGAGAAGGTAAAAAGTCACTTTCAGTTGTACTAAAAATTATGTTAAACACAAGGAAAGAGGAATATCTGAAAAAACATAAAAGATGGAACATTTAGGCAAGTTAGTTGAGAAGATCCATTTTATTGGTAAGTCTTTCCCTAGCAGCTGTTATACAAGAAGCATAGATAAAAATTAGGAATTTAAAGCAAATCATGCACACATTTTCTACAAAATTTTGAGTAAAAGTAAAAAAAAGTCAGAGGAGGCACATTAAGTTTTATTTTAGTCAAAAACAGAAGACAAAAAAAATTATAGAAGTATTTCTTTACCCGCATTTGTATGATATTATATATTTCAGATATAAGAGCATATAGTCAGTGTTAAATTCATTAATAACAAAAAAGTTGATGGAAAAATATTCTAATATCAAACATTTTTGATAAAATTAGCACCACTAGACCAGCAGATGAGCCAAAATACTACTGATGACACAACATCGGTAATGCATACAAGGATGAGATTTTGTAAGATTATAATTTCTAATCATACATGAAATATATCAAAGGTCAAAAGAAAATTGGTGTTGCTTCAGTGGCTCTCTGAATGTATTGTAAAAACTAGCCTTTAAAAATACTATTTTAAGATCAGAAAGGATATAATATAGTCCAGGGTGGATGTCCTCCATTTACATACAGAACATAAGAGTAACCATCCTTTGCAACTCCATGGACATTGTAGTACAAGGGGAGGAATGAATGAACTTTAAACTTTCTCTGTTCATAGAACTGAATGGCTGTAGTGTTAGTGGTCAACACGTGCAGGTATATTGCTTTGCAGTCAGCAGTTTCAGAACTATTGGTCAGATGAGATATTACACTATCCAGCAGTAAAGTAGCTGAAAGAAGGAAAAAAAGTAACATATTTCTATACCTTTTACAAAACATTGCTTTTGCACTCTAATACAGTTTAGTCATGATTTTTCCCTGCATAATAACAATTTAAAAAACACCGTATCTTTCCACCTTAAAATCTGTGATGAATGACAAAAGTGAATATAAAATGGCTGAATTTTTTGTGAATATAACAATTTGCTCAACATATTAATAAGAAAAGCTTGTTTTGTGACAATATACCAAATTATCCCATTTACAATATAATAATTCTTTAAATTTTAACATGCAAATGTAATAAAAGTTGGAACTACTATAAATCTTCATTGCTGTGCCACAATTTATGCTAACAAACCTTTTAAAGTGTATTAACCTGTACTGATTTCATTTCTTTCACTACTCTATTATTCTTTTTTTTTCATTTATCAATGTTTGGTTTAAGTTTTACATTGCTTTTCACTCACTTACCTATTCCATTTCTTCGAAATTCTTGTACTACACCCAGAGTTAAAATATAAGCTACTAATGATGTTTTGGGAAAGTGAGATGAAAGAAGGCCTTGATCCTATAATGAAAAAATGAAACTTACATTATTCATATGCAAAAAAGCACCAAACATGGAACATGTGTAGAGTACGAAAATACAATCAATAAATATAGACAATTTCAAAATCCTTAATTTTGATTGAACTTGTTCTTTGTTGAGATATTTCATAATAATACAATACTTATCACACACACTTTTTAATGCAAAAAACAGTACTGTGAACTCAAACAGTGTAATCTAATGATCCTTAGACAAAGACATGATGCTTGTGAACCCTTCTGAAATAAACATTTTAGAAGTTTAGCAAATACATCCAGCACTCGTATCCAATGATTTATATCAAAACCTATGGCTCCAAACTTGAAACTAATATTCATAAAAAAAGGGGGAAGGTAATGCCATCAGATATATGTAAGAATTCTGCCTTATCAACATTTCTTCAGAGTGTGGTGAAAATCTCTCAAAGCATAAAATGATTTACATACAATACTTACTTGTATATTACTTGCACCATATCATCTGTCAATATGGAGAAGCATGGTAGAGCTGCCAGAGACAATTATACATGCCACACACATCTAATAACCTTTTGAAGGTTCTTTTAAGAAGTTTATAGTTGTAGTTATTCCTTCCTAGCTATCACTTGCTCAGAGTTTAGTCACTTTTGACAATGTTACCATGAACAAATGGCAGGGTTGGATTAAGTGCCTAGTGGGCCTGGAGCTGAAAAATTATTATGGGCCTCTTCTACTGTACTTTTGAAAAAACAAAAACCCATAAAAAAAACAAGCAAACAAATTTATACTTGATATTTTAATGACAAAAGCTTGTAGCTCACAATTAAATTATAATTTTACTTTCAGTTTTTTTTTTTAATTGACAAATATATCATTGATATAGTCTTTTAATACTACTCATACATAAGAAAATAGGCAACTAAAAATAATTCATTATCAAATTTATCATCAACATAAAATGAATTTTGAACAAAACTTTTATCAAACTATGTATACAGCAATATTATCATGAAAATATTCAATGATGTGTCTTTACTAAAAATTCTAATAAAGAATATAGTAATTTTAATATTTAGAATAAACTGAATGCAATAAATAACTATATGGAATTTCATTCTTTCTTGAATATAATGAAGATTAAAATAAATACATTTTGAATTATAAACCAAAGATGGAATAAAAGGGCATGAGGTAAAAATATTTACAAAGCACAGCACTTTGAATTTTGTTGGGTCTATTTTTGGTAATGGGTCTGGTGCAGCAATTCCATCAGTCCCTGCCTTAATATGGCACTGACAAGTAGGGCTTGAAACTACTAAAGCCAAAACAAAGCTAGTGGGTTCTAGTGTTTAGCTAGTGATGATCAAGAAACACTGTCACTATACTATGATAACTGACCAATAAGCCTTTTTCAGTATCTTATTGTGTATCTTTTAATGGTTAACTTCTAAAGTAGTTTGCAAACACTTGCCAATTGCTAAAAAATTGTTATTTTCAAGCACTATATATATATATATATATATCTATCTATGTTAACACACGTGTCAAGCTAATTTTATTCTAGTAACTAAAACATCACAAATTTCATCAATTTCAGGTAATGCAAACATGTCTAAATATAAGACAGCATTTTATTGAGAAGAAAAAAAACAATCCATATAAACTATATTAATAGAATAGTAAGAAAAAGACACTTCCCTAGATATAATTCATCATCTTCTTCAATTGTTACATGCACACATGTATAAAACTGCTGTAATTCAAGTCACTTACTTGCTATGTTATACTGAAAGATCCACACATAAACTTTGTTTGTTATAAGACTGTCATTGTGTTTTCTGTGCATACATACACACAAACCTATACAAGCTTTAGAACAAATAAAACACATTCAACTGCAAAAAGATAGGCCATACATATAACCATAACTACACACAACCTTTAGCTGTATACAAAACAAACTATACTCAAGTTTTATAAAACACAAAGGGAAAACTTTTAAAAATAGGCAGACACATAGTTTTATATAATTAAACATAAAAACTTTCAGTGACAAACAATTAAACAATTGAAGGCCAGTCATCTGACTGAGATTACCATTTACTCACTACAAAACCAACTAAATTAAATCCTGTTCTTCACATCCATGTGTTTATCAAACAAACATATAAAACAAATTTAGACAGTACACACTATATTATTAAGCAAACCATCCTAAATAATTATAATTCTAACTGAAAAATATATTTATTAAAGAACAAGTACACATTTGAGCTTCCAAGAGATTAACATATTACATCTAATATTTAAACTTATATCTACAACCGTTTCATTCACCACTCAAAAGGCCACTTACAGAACTGTTAATAATTTAAAAACCTGAATCACACCATTATTTTGTTCAACAATGAAAACAAATCCACAACTTTAAACCTATTCTCATATTACAAGTTTCTTAAGCCTAGTATTACTCTAGTATACTCTTTCAGTTACAACTTTTTCAACATGTTGATATCCTTTCTGTATAAAATGACTAAAAACTGCACATTACATACAATAATGTTTTACCAGTCTTAAACAAGCTCATAACTGTTTTCTTGCTCTTAAATTAAAAATTATTTTAATTAGAACTCAAACTCTTCCTTGCTATTTTCATTATAGCTAAACACTCATATGATCAGTTTTATCAATGATCGTAACTAAATTTCTTTTTTTTCACAATGTTAACATTTTCCTTGTCTGAAAATGTATTTCAGATAGTCATCTCTCCACAGAAGAAACAGCTAGTACCTTGCACATCTCCCAAGACGAATTTTGCATGTCACAATTTTTTAACAGAATAGCCACCCCAACATGTTTGAATGTGGACTGTGCCAACCTATGATGTAATCATTATTAGACTATAACCCTTCACCAACGGGAGAGTGATACATCCTTCATGTTCAATAAACCCCAGGAGCACTAGAATTGCAACTCAGTCTTGCTCTTGATGAGGCAAAAGAAACACACCAGAAGTGGGAAGGAAGGATGAAAGTTTTGTGGGGAGGTGAGTATATATCTCAAATACACTTTCAGGTAAGGAAAATATTAACTTAGAAACTCAACTCATTTCTCCACAGAACACACAACTAAAATCTCACATTGATATAACAGTAGAGGGGCCAGTTTAGATACAGAAATTACAAAGATGAGCTCTTTTCTGAAATCATAGCATCAAAAAGATAAAACCCGTGGAGTGTGTCATCTACTTGAGAGTAGCTTATTGGGGCAACACTCAGTGGAAAACTACATCCTTCTCATGCAGGGAATACTCTCTTCCCAATAAAGGTGGTAGACCAAAAGGTATTACGAAATGAACCTTAAGGTCTCATAGATGGGTGGTATGGAAGATTGCTAAACCAGTCATTATATCTTGGGTAATTGGTACAGCATGTATATGTAGTGTGGTTGGGTAATATGTTAAGCTGTACAGTATTGGAGAAATACTTACGAGAAGAAGTAGGTGCAGGGAGGAATAATTCCAGACCTGCATCCTGAGGAGAAAACAAGATCCATCCAGCTCACACAACCACCAGGTGAGTCCATTTAGTCTTATACCAGTTGGATTACACTAACCCAAAAAAGAACTATCCATATCGGTCTCCCCGAGGACTTGGAACTGTAGAAAAAAAGGGTTCTCCCATTACTACCCTAGAAGATAAAATGGGGGGATTCACATAGGAAAGAACACCAGAGATGTGCCTGGACAAAAATGGAATTTTCTGTCATTTGCATAAAGACCCAAAATAATACTATGCAATGGGTTACTGTGTATAGGAAAAGAAGTTGATAGCAATGTGTGGGAAAGGCTCACAACTGGTGCTGACTTTTTTTTGTATGAAGTACAGTCTGGAAGGTAAAATTTATCAGTGCACTGCCATAGCAGTCTTACAGAAAACCCCATTTGAATAGCAGGCACTGAACTGGAGCATTTGGACTTAATCCTTTCTGTTATCCCCCACTAGATACATTTTTCTGGAGAGAGTCCCTATGGGACAATACAGGTCATGTGGTAGGTTCCATGATAAAAATGTACAGATTGAATTAGGTGATTTTGAGACTTGTGAAAAAAAAAAGAAGAGAAAAAACAACTTAATTTCTATGTGAAAAGTGGGGGATGAAGGCTGGCAGGAGATAAAACCTAGAGATAGGTGAAACTGCAATTTGGTCTAAATAATGTGACAAACATGTCAGGGGTCATCAACATCACCACCTGTAAGATCTTAGACAAGGGACATCAACAGTCAAAGGTGAGATGATGAACTTGATGAAATATTATCTGAAAAAATAAGAAAAGTGTTATCACCCATTGAAGAATAAACTAGGCAGATGAGGTTTATAACCTAACTGGTCAAAGTGAAAGGATATAAGTTACTAGAGGAATCCCATGGCAAGAAGACACTGTCAATTGCCTTGAAAGGCAACAGAAGAAGTGAGATAACAACAAATAGCCTGTACAGGATAAAGGAGATGATCAGGGTTGGAATGATCATACAGGGAAGAAAGGAAAAAGATGTTGATTACAAAACACATCTGATCATCCTACTGAGCAGACCAAGTTTTGGGGAAGAAGCAGTCAGGGAATAATATTAATCTGTCCCAGTGTTAAAAGAGTGTAGGAAGCATACATAGCAAAGAGTTCAGAGTGGTGGCCCCTGTAAGAGAGAAGGAAGAACAAATATGTCTTAAGAGAAAAATAGCACAGGGGACAGGTGGCAAATGGTTTGAATGAGGGAGACGTAAGAGCCTTGAGAATTAAACAGAGGTTCCAGTTCAAGAGAGGAACCAGATAAGATGAACAACTGTTGAAAAACACTCAGAAAAAATCCATAAGAAAAGGAGAATGTCCAAGGAAGAGAGAGAAGATCTTGTACAAGCTATCCTGATCTGGCAGTAGTAGAATGGAAAAACTTTGAACAGGAGGATTGGCATATAAAAGAAATTGAACCAATTAAGACTCAG